GTACTCAGATCTTGTTGCAAAGGACTAAGGGCCTAAGGTACAGAGAGACACTAAAGGACTACAGAGAGACACTAAGGAATACATAGAGACACTAAAGACACTAAGGACTACAAAGAGACACTAAGGACTACAGAGAGACACTAAAGACTACAGAGAGACACTAAGGACTACATAGAGACACTAAGGACTACAGAGAGACACTAGCAGACACAAGACTACAAAGAGACACTAAGGACTACAGAGAGACACTAAGGACTACAGAGAGACACTAAGGACTACAGAGAGACACTAAGGACTACAGAGAGACACTAAAGGACTACTAAGGACTACAGAGAGACACTAAAGGACTACAAAGAGATCTCTCTTGTCTCCTAGTGTCTCTTTCTGCTTACAGTGTGTGTGTGTGTGTGTGTGTGTGTGTGTGTGTGTGTGTGTGTGTGTGTGTGTGTGTGTGTGTGTGTGTGTGTGTGTGTGTGTGTGTGTGTGTGTGTGTGTGTGTGTGTGTGTGTGTGTGTGTGTGTGTGTGGACAGACCTGAGGATGTGGACCCTGATGGGAGTGTGTGTCCTGCACTGTGTGTCCGCTCAGCTGTTTGACTCCAAACTGAAGGGATCCCCTCGTCTGATCTGCAGCGTCTCCGGACCCCCGGGACCTCCAGGTGGACCGGGTCCCATCGGACCGCTGGGGAGCGAGGGGAGGCCGGGGAGAGATGGGAGGGACGGGAGAGACGGGATGACGAGGGAGAAGGGAGAGAGCGGAGACTCAGGTACAAAACACCTTAAGTCCAAGCCTTTGATGTAAAAGGGATCCTGATGTAAGTGTTGAATTGGGAACACCACGTAACGAGGGGGGGGCGGGGGGGTTGCTGAGGACGGAGATCTCCACTGTTGGGAGGGTTGTTTGATTTGAAACAGGTTATAAGTTAAAGAGGAACAGGTGAACTCAATCAGGTGATCAAACACAGAGACAGGAAGTAAGAGCAGGCAGTGGGGGGGGGGCACACCTTTCAGAACAAAACGGGAAAACAAAGACAGATCGTGAGACAAAATAAAACACAGAGCGATCGTGACAACAGAGACGTCCTTATATCCTCCATGTGACAGCTCAGATCGTCCTGAAGAGGGCGGTGTGTTACCTGATGAGACCTTTTACACATGGCTACCAGGAGAACCAATCATATGGAAGCTCTCAGACCTCAGAGGGCCTCACGCACTATTTATTCTCCTCTGGTTTGGTTTGTGTCATTTTTAACTTCTGCAAACAAGCTTTAAACTCTAATCTAAATAAATCAGTAGTCCAGCGTCTCGTCTCTTGCAGCATTACAGCATCAGTGTATTTATAACCAGCTCTGATATCTGTCAGCGAGATCATTAAACGTCATGTTTTCCACGATGTCAGGAAACAGGAATTCAGACAAGAAGCTGCACGAGGAACAACACTCAGTCTGATGTTTGAACCACAGGAGAGGTACTCTGGTCTGGTACTTGAGTAAAAGTAGAAGTACTCAGGTCTTGTACTTTAGTAAAAGTAGAAGTACTCAGATCTTGTACTTGAGTAAAAGTAGAAAGACTCAGATCTTGTACTTGAGTAAAAGTAGAAGTACTCAGATCTTGTACTTGAGTAAAAGTAGAAGTACTCAGATCTTGTACTTGAGTAAAAGTAGAAGTACTCAGATCTTGTACTTGAGTAAAAGTAGAAGTACTCAGATCTTGTTCTTGAGTAAAAGTAGAAGTACTCAGATCTTGTACTTGAGTAAAGGTAGAAGTACTCAGATCTTGTACTTGAGTAAAAGTAGAAGTACTCAGATCTTGTACTTGAGTAAAAGTAGAAGTACTCAGATCTTGTTCTTGAGTAAAAGTAGAAGTACTCAGATCTTGTTCTTGAGTAAAAGTAGAAGTACTCAGATCTTGTACTTGAGTAAAAGTAGAAGTACTCAGATCTTGTACTTGAGTAAAAGTAGAAGTACTCAGATCTTGTACTTGAGTAAAAGTAGAAGTACTCAGATCTTGTTCTTGAGTAAAAGTAGAAGTACTCAGATCTTGTACTTGAGTAAAAGTAGAAGTACTCAGGTCTTAGTGTAGGAATACTCTGTTACAGTCCTGCATTCAAAATCAAATATAGTTAAAGTAGCGACAGTAAAAGTAGTCATGGTGCAGATTGGTCCATAAATAGTTTGTAATATCTTCGTAATATTCGTCTCTGTCTCAGGGCTGAAGGGCCGGCTCGGGCCCTCCGGTCTGATCGGGGTCAGAGGTCACCGCGGAACCACGGGGAAGCGAGGCCCGGCTGGAGAGCAGGGAGACCCTGGTCTGCATGGTCCTCCGGGGCTGGAGGGGCTGCAGGGGGTCAGAGGAACCCGAGGAACCAGAGGAACCTCAGGAACCTGCAGGTGTGGTTCCCTCACGCCCAGATCCGCCTTCTCTGCAGGCATCACCAGCAGCTACCCGGCAGAAAAGACCCCCATCAGGTTTGCAACTTCAAATCAGCTGCTGTCTAGAGAAAATGATGAGTTGGGCAAATATGCAAAGAAATAAAATATGAATATAAAGTCTTTTAAGATTTGTGTAATGCTTGCAAGCATGACGGCTCCTTCTGAGTGTGACAGACTCTCTTATAGGGAGACATCAAAGATCATTTGCATGACAGCAACATGTGGTCCACGTGGATCACAATAAGCAAAACTCACACCCTACAAAGA